TCGGAAGTATGCGGACATCTTTTTTCCGAGCAATAAAAGTCCGGATTGGGACATTTTTCGCGATAATAATCTCTTATTAACAAATAGTTGAAAATTTTGCCATTTTCACCACCTGCTTTTCTACACTCACGTTATTATTAACCTACCCAGGAATGAGTAGAAATCTCTTCACAAAGTAGGTGTTTTGACAGTTCAACTATATTCGATTTGAAAATTTGCACTTTTAAAACTACAAGTTAAAATCAAAACATTTACTTTTGGTTTGAAAAAAACCTTGGTGTATTAAATATTTTCATAGTTAGTATAACAAATTTTTGAATACTTTTAAATTGAAAGTACAATATTTTTACTAATACAATTTTCGTTTTTCGTGTGTACGTGCGCACAGCTAACCATACCAAAACAAAATCTTTCATGCATCGTAGATAGAGTCGTCTGCCTCGGTAAATACCTGGCTTAAACCCTCTCCTCCCGAGGGATCCGCATTTTAAAAAAAACCACAGACAAACAGACATAACACTCGCAAGTTGTTCATCGAACAAGCATTTAACGGTCAATTCAAAAGTATCGTAGTTGGTAGTACCGCCACCTGTGGCGCGCATAGTTAATTTCCTTGCGTTTGACGTTTACACACTACCGCCATCTGTTCAGCGTACTACCCACCACAGTGTACTCAATAGATGGCGGTAATGTTTTAGCGACGATGTTTTACAGTGAGAAATATTCAATGTGTTATGTCTGTTTGTCTGTGAAAAAACGTTTGATAATCGTAACTAAAAGTCCACTAAACTAACTTTGCAAAACATTTCAGATTTCAAAAATCTGGAAGGTCAAGGCAGCGATCAACCATTTGGAGGACTGGCTATTAACACAACGAGAGGATGCAGCATGGAGAAACAAGGTTCGGACGTACCTTAAGCTGACCCGCCTTTGTATGGACGAGAACTACTTCTCTTTCCGAGGTAACTTCTACAAGCAGACGAAAGGAGCCCCAATGGGAAACCCGAGGGGGGCGACTCATCTAAATCTCAAGTCTAGATGCTCAACAAATCTCACACTAGCGAATCAATCTTCGAAAAATCTTCTTTCATTTCTCGCATCTACTTGCATCGCGCATCATCTTTTTGCAGAAAATTTTCAGAATCGTCATCAATCTTCTTTCTATCTATTCAGCGTGCGCGCAGCTAGCCACAGAAATGCACAATCTTTTCTGCATCGTAGATAGAGTCGTCCAACAGAAAATGGCCGCCTTTCACCACATGATTCATCGGATGCAGACTCTTCCACTCAGCGATACAGGAAAGGTTAAGGAATTACAGTACATCTCAACGAGCAACAACAACTAGCAAGACTCAACGGATACAAGGAGACCACAATCCAGGCAATCATCGATAAAAAAGCGAGCAGTCTACAAAGGAGATTATTTACAACCCTCACCGCAGTTTGAAATGAAAATAAAAATTGTCTCAGGAAGCTTTTTTCATTAGTTTATTTTTTATTAATAATATTTAAAAAAAATACTTGCAATTTCGATGCTGCCCAGCAGATTACAGGCGCAGTAGAAATCCGCTGGGACAAAGCCCTTCACCAGCACGAAGCTCCGAAGCGAGCTTCGAAGGGAATCCAGATGTTCTTATTCCTGTCATTTTAGTAAACACTGATCGAATTCCACTCCGTTAGATACAGATACAGATACAGATACGATAACAGATACATTAAGTGTATCTGTCAAATTAAGACAAATATTTGTCTCGTGTACTAATACCTTTAAACAATGGTTTTCAAAATTATGAGAATGTGTTTGACACATAAAGCTTGTCAATTTCGCTTTCAGAGCGTCACAATCAGCGATCTTATGATTCGTGAGCGTTCACTCAGAGTGAGCGCTCACGAGTCGTAAAATCTCTGATTGTGACGCACTGAAAGCAATATTGACAGATTTTATGTGTCAAACATATATTTCATGACCTTTTCTTGTAACTTACAAGTACTAATAAGCATTATACTATATACCATGATTTCATAATACCGAAAAACATTTTTTATAGAAAGTGAGTGGAAGTAACCCTGTGTCCAGCAACAAAATGTGTTTTCCATGATTGTATTAAGGCTGTGAACCATTTGCCGAGTTAAATTTAACTCGTGGTTAAAAGTGACATTTCGAAAGTTATTTTCTATGTTCGAAAATCCCCGTGCTGTCGATCGACCGGTTTTCGAGCCACAATTGTCAAAATTTAACTTCTTGTCTGTCAGAAGTAACCACGCTCGGGTAGCAGGGTTAATCGATAACTTTCCATCTGTCAAATTTTAACCAAAAGTTAAAATAATTCGCCAAATGGTTCAGAGCCTAAGGCTGTGAACCATTTGCCGTGTTAAATTTAACTCGTGGTTAAAAGTGACATTTCGAAAGTTATTTTCTATGTTCGAAAATCCCTGTGCTGTCGATCGACCGGTTTTCGAGAAGAACTCAGCCATAGTTGTCAAAATTTAACTTCTTGTCTGTCAGAAGTAACCACACTCGGATAGCAGGGTTAATCGATAACTTTCCATCTGTCAAATTTTAACCAAAAGTTAAAATAATCCACCAAATGGTTCAGAGCCTAAATAACAAATAATAATTTTAAATGATTTATTGTCAGATTTGGTGGCTGTCAGACTTGCGGTTTCTATCGAAGTGCAGCGGAAGAAAAACAAGTGTACCATAAGTAAATACTCTCCGTAAAGTAAGAAATTCCATCAGCCAGCGGGCGGCTTCCTCCTCCAAACTCATGACCAACCCCAGCCAAGAGCGAGGCCAAGAGTACAACTTGGGCCGAGTAGAAAACAATGAATTCTTATTACACCTGTTCGACGAAGGCGGTTCCATTGTCAGGTGAGGTTTTTCCCGGAGCTAGGATCAGCAGTTTGGCACCTTCCAAGCTACTATACACCGACACCTGGTTGCTCTTCTCCGTCGGATTCAATCGTTTTAACCCCGGAAAGTGGATGTGCGTTGCCATCTCCTCCATGAGGCGCTTGATGCTTTTGTCCCCGTGACCGATTATGAAGGAGTGGTGCATCGTTTATTTTAATGAGATCGTTGAAAACTGACGCGATTATGGCAGAGTGCTTCGCGGTCTACCTAAAAACTGCGAGAAACAGCACGGCTTGCTTGATAATTTGTGTGCATGCAGAAGGGATAAGTTGGGAATAGAAAGAATAGATGTGATCGATTGAATTTTGTGCACGTTGAAAATTTTATGAGAGATTTGGATAAAAATGGGATAATCTTGAAGTGTCGTTCCCCCTGTACAAGACAATGAAGAAGTCTGCACATTGTACACGGGGAAGGACAGGTCCAAGTATCAGCATCAATATCGATGGTGGAAATATTAAATATTTTAATATGTGTGATATTTGCGAATCTTATACTTAGTCTGACAGTTGTTTTTTTGTTTTTGACTATTTTTGGTTTGAAGTGTACATTTGACATTCGTTTAGTAAAAAATGGATTTCACACCAGATGCAAGTCATTCTTTGATGATCTTGCTGGCCACCGCCACCAAAATCCGCTCCTTGTTCTAAAAAAATCGGCATTATTTGTTAGCTGATCTCAGTGCAAATAATCGGTCGCACTTCTGTCCCAGAAAATAGTCATTAATTTCCACGAATTCTTCATCGTCTGCGAATCAATGTGCTATCCTCCGATGGAACGGGAATCGACTGACTACGCCTCCCCTGTAAACGGAGTCCCAGAGTGATGGTTCCGTGGTCGTATTACATTTGCCATGAGCCTGCAACTGGCAAAATTTGCTGCTGGTACCGTTTTTATCATGAAAAGTCGAAGTCGAAATCGATCAGAGTTATCCAAAACGAAAATCGAAAATGAAAGCTGCAGTAAACATAAACAACAACGGTGAAACGACATTGAGTGTACGCGTTGAAGTTACACTGTTATTGTTTTTACTTTGAAGCTGCCCGCTTGACAGTTAATATCATTAATATTTATACTAAAAATTATAATAATTACCAATTTGAGCAATTTTTACACCAAATATTCCTGCAGATCAAGTTGTACTTCCCCTAGGATAGAAAGATTTCTACCTTTTGGCAAATTTACATTGCTGATTATTCATAATTTTTTTTTATAGTCACATTCTTGTTAACATAACAATTATTTTTTTCATGTGTTTCACTTATACATTTTTGCCAAAACATCAGTCTTATACATTCCATAAGACAAACCACATAGGTCCTATAAGAATGCATAAAAGGTATGTGTGACCGCTTATACATTTCATTTGACACATGATCTTTATTAACTTTTTGCAAGGCGTCTCCCTAATAAAAATTGTATGGTTAATTTGCTTAACGACGTGTTCTGGGTATCATCCAAACCATTTGTGGAATAGTTCAATGATTTGGGTTATCGTTCGTTTATGGTTATTTTTTATTAGGGCTGCTTATTAGTTGACTTATACATTTTATGAATAATCAGCAATAGAAATTTGCGAAAAGGTATAAGGAGATTTCTATCCGTGCACTTGCTTATCACCGTGTAGTGACACCCGTAATAAGGCCCAGCATGTTTTAATACTAATTTTAATTTGTTATTTGTATACGCCGTGAGTTTCCAATCACGCACAACATCATGCAGGTCGTAAAAGATCAGAAACGCACGAACTCATCAATTTTTTACGCATATTCGTGGTTGATTATTTCGGTGTACGGTCATGTACGGCGGTGTAGCTGTTGGTGTAGCTACTACACCGCTACACGGCTACACTGTCAAACGAAAACGACATGATGCATTCGATTTCTTTTCTGAATATCCCGGTGGGTGAACCCCCTTTCGAATTGATCCATTTATGCGGCGGCAAATTTGAGTGGGCGGCTTGTTATTCGTTTTGACGTTTCCTCACATACGAACAACATAGAAAAACAAAGCAAACGAAGAAGGTGCTGAACTCGATCAAAACAAAAAGTACGATAACATTCGTCGCAGTTCAGTTTCGTCGCGATTTTCATCTTCTCCTGTGTGAACTTTCGCTCAGTCCCAAAAAATCTTCAATTTCCTTCAAATTAGATAACCCCATTCCGGTCTGTTCCACAATGTTGTCGTTCTTCCGCAGGAAAACATCCGAGGATCTCGGTGTATCACCCAGTTCTTCTAGTAATGATACCCCGAAGAAAGAAATGACTCCATCGCCGACCTTATCACAGCTCGGCTACCGCAGTGTGGATGATCTGAGGGAAACGATCTACGGTTGGGTGTATTAGCGGGGTAGATTCGTTCGGGTTAAAATTGATTGCAGCCTTCTTTTTTTTTTGTACAGATTTCCTCCGTACCATCCGAGACCCGGAGAAGCCGAACACCCTGGAGGACTTGAAGGTGGTCTATGAGGAGGGAATCTTCGTACAGGAACCAACCGAGGGCAATGTCTACGTCGTCCGGATAGAGTTCAACCCAACGGTACCGCACTGCTCGTTGGCCACGTTGATTGGGCTGTGCATCCGGGTTAAGGTCCAGCGTAACATCCACCACAACCTCAAGCTGGACATCTACATCAAGAAGGGAGCCCACTCGACGGAGGATGAAAGTAAGTAGCATAGCGCTGTGTAATAAAAAGAGATAATTGCTAATTGAGCCCCGACAACAATGAATGTTACAGTTAACAAGCAGATTAACGATAAGGAACGGATAGCAGCCGCCATGGAGAATCCCAACTTGCGACAGTTGGTGGAAAGTTGTATCAAAGAGGAAGACTGAGCTGAGGTGGACTTTGTAGGTGATTGCACTTTTGGAAACCAGTTTTTTGTTTGTTTGTTTGCTTCAGAAGCAATAGAAATAAGGGCATGGTGAAATTTTTGTCACAGGAAGTAACTATTTAAAAATAAAATTTACAGTACAGCGTATTGAGCGTTGGAATTTTTGAGAGATGGAAAGAAGTCAGATTTGTTTTGCTTATCGCTCTTTATTTTGAGTTAAACAAGCGCTCCGAACATCGCAGACGCTCGAAGCCTTGCGTTTCTTAAACGAACAAATTCAAATCATTTTAACATTATTCAAGATCTTATCCATTAATAACATAGTAAATTAGATAGTTTTTCTTCGGGAAAAGTGTTCCTCATGTGTGTGTTTGTTGTATAAGTTTGAAATCATGTTTGCCTAATCTCTAGAAGCTGCTACTACACACACATCTTACATGCCTCGCTTTCCGTTTCAATCAAGATTACAATCTTCAATATATTCTTTTATCTGCTATAATGGGTGAATCAAAACCGTGTTTTCCCCCCTTTCGGGTTCTGCAAATGCGAACGAATATCTTGTCTGGAAGCGCGCGCTTACTTCCTGAAAGCCATTCGTTTACCTCTGCCAATCGAGAGCCCGAAATTGGAAGAAACCGCTTTGCTGTTATCCAAAAAAATCAAAAGCATTTCCAAGAGCAAATTCCGCGCATTTAGCACGAGCAAATTGTAAATATAAAAAATGGTAGTGGGATTACAATAATGTAATGTTATAAAAGTAGAAAAGGCCTTAGCCATTTAAAAAATACGATTAGTTATTAACTAATATCACCCCCTAAACTCTAGCGTAGCCTTTTGCTCACAATACAATAGAAATAGGGAATCTTCTGAAACGAAGCTTCCCACAAATCGATAGCTGATCTCTTCTAATCAGGAACCGGCTTAAACCTCTTCTCGACTAACATCTTCTTGCATTATTCATCATCATCATCAGCACTTACATGACTACTAAACATAAGGAATTCAATTCAATCTTTTAAGTTGTTTTCAGTTTTGTTCAAGATATTTCCAAACATCCACATCGGCCTTGTGGCAGTGAGCAAGCGGGCGGATTTTTCAGGCGTTGGCCTGAATGATCGGCGGTTGGTTCATGTTCTGTTGGTTACCGTTCTGACGGGTCTGGTTCTGATTCTGGTTGCGACGGCGTCTCGGCTGGCGCGGACGGAACTTCCTGTTTCCACCAGCACCTCCGTTCGGGGACGGCGGCGATTGGTTGTTGCTGTTGTTGTTGTTCTTACCGTGGTAGTTTCCACTGGTATTACCATTATCACCATTATTGTGCTGCTGGTAGTTGCCGTTGCTGTTGTTATTGCGACCAGCGTTCATGGGTTTACGGTTGTCCTTGCCGTTGCCGTTGCCATTTCCATTGTTGTTGTAGTTGCCATTGCCCGATGAATTGCTGCTCTTGTTACCGAAGAACATCCGACCTGTGGAAAAGGGAAAGGATTGATTAATAGAATAGGTACTTTAGCCACCAGAGAATATGAATCTATGTTTAACCCTTCTAGATAGAGCTGGAATTAGGGCGTAACAGCTTTTGTAAACAATGACTTCTCTCAATAATTTCTGGTGGGCGTTGGTCAAATTTGGATTTTTTAGATGTAATCCTAAATAGGACCTAGATTATTTAATACTTTTGTAACCTCAAGTCCGTGCTCTGTCACAATGTTTCATTGTGATTAATCAACACTCAAAGGGGTAAAATATAAAATTTGGGGTAAATTTGAAAGAAAGGAAACTTGGAGTGAAGAGCGCACTGCCCACTGGACGATTCTGAAGCCTGGCCAAGTGAGTGGGGTATGGGTTTATTTGATTGAACGTCATTTCCAATGTATATATTGATACATTCAAACCATTGGCATTTGAGATAAGACAGAGATAGGATGCGGAGGACCCGCTTAGGAGGAGCGTAACCCATGTTATGGTTTCCATTTATTAAATAGTTCAGATAGGCTAGAAATGACAGGCTTATAGTGAGAGAATGAACCATACTGGGAAAGCATAATTTTCATAGGGTTCAGAGCGGCTGAGCTGTTCGTTTGTACTTTGACCACAGAGAACAGACGTTCAAGCTCGGTCAGAAACTTGTGTAAAATAAGTGGGAACGTCGCCGTTACGTGGTGTTAGCATCTCCTGATTTTGTCTATAAATTTTCCACTTTCGACCAATTTGGCGCTAGTATCGATAAATTTTCTGAAAATTGCCACTTGGCGCTACTAGCACTTAGTGTCTAGTGTAATTTGTGCAACGCCAGCGCCATCATGTTGTCAAAGAGGGTTTTTAAGTGGGGAAGTCGCCGTTAATGGCGCTTAAGTCAAATAGGAATCTTTACACAAGTTTTTAGAGAAATTTTGTTCGAGCCTCCATGTCTGTTCTCTGTGGTTTGACCTTCCTTCAAAACCAATTTGGCTCTTGAACAATTTTAAACTTGTTCTGCATTATTCACATGTTGCAATTATTGAAAAAGAGCTCGATATAAGATAGCCACAGAGAACAGACGTTGAGGCTCCAAAATTTCTCGAAAAACTAGTGTAAAGATTCCTATTCGACTTAAGCGCCACTAACGGCGACTTCCCCACTTAAAAACTCTCTTTGACAACATGATGGCGCTGGCGTTGCAAAACTTACACTAGACACTAAGTGCTGGTAGCGCCAAGTGGCAATTTTCAGCAGATAATTTATCGATACTAGCGCCAAATTGGTCGAAAGTGATAAATTTATAGATGAAATCAGGAGATGCTAGCGCTACGTAACGGCAACGTTTCCACTTAACTCTGTGCGATAGCTTAATACAATTAAATAGAAATGCCAAAATCTTACCGAGTAGTTTAGCTGTTTTGATTTCGGTACAGTTTGTTGAGGTCGGGTATAGTTTCTGAGTATGGATGCCCATTTTGAAATAGCTTATACTAGCGCAGAGTAATAGTTTTATCACAGACAAACAGACGTAACTCTTTGAAAAAGTTGTTCTTGAAAACATAGGACCTCAGTAACGACATCTCTCTGGCTTCTCGCGGAAAACAAGCTTGCTCGCTAACTCGCAGCGCTGCGGCGAGTAGTTCGCGGAACTGATAATGTTCAAATCAACAGTTAAATGCGTGAACGAAGATACACAATGAAGAGTTACGTCTGTTTGTCTGTGGTTTTATTGCGAGGAAACTTTCTTTTGGGATCGTCTTTTCTTCATACAATTCTCATTATTCATACTATACTAATCATGTTCAGTCTTAGAAATGTTATATGTTTAAGCCCCGTTCTAGATTTGTTTGTTATTCATATCTTATGCATTGAAGCTCGCGAGAGGTTACCAAATATGGGTTCATTTTCTCATCCACAATAGTTTGGAGGGAGGGGGCGATCTGAGAGCTGAATAGAGGCAAATAAAATAGGGAACACAACACCATGACCCAAACGACTAACCAACGCACTTAACTTGTTCTATTTCTTTCTTCCCCTCATGTACCAATATTACCCACCTGAGAACAAATGGGAACACGGTCAGATTTTCAATAGGAAGAAGGAAAAAAAGTGAGAAAACGCAAGAGAGTAAGCAGCCAGAAAGGATTAGGCCATTTGGAAACAGCCAATTTATACTGGACGGAACTGGTAAGTTGGATAAGAATTGTAAAAGGTGTGTGCTTGCATGAAATACCTATTTTAGAATTACCGTAAAACGGGGATAACATTGATAGTTTTTTAAAGTATATTCTAAATATTTTTTACAGCAATGAATGTTTTTCAAATTTTATATTTTTAAAACAAGTCCTGATGATCCAAGAGTTGAACGAAAATTAAAGCATTTGCACTATTTTTTTTAGTTTTGTGACCGAACCTCAGTATTTTGATTTGGGGTTACTTTGATAATGCTCGATGAATGTAGAAAAAAAATGAGTGAAACTCAAACAATTTAGTTCTTTAAATATGAAACTTTAAATGAGTATACGATTAGAAAACTTCATAAGCAATAAGAATACAACATTGAATTTGTGTGAAATGGCTGTATCGAAAATACATTTAATAAGTGATGGTTTGAGTGCTTTTTGAAAAGGCGAAAAACACGAAAATGGTTTTTAATATTTTTGTAAAATATGTAACAGAGGCATTCCACGAAGGTTCGCAAATCGATCCTGACCGATAATTTCCAATTACGCTGAAACTTTGCACAGTTGTTCCTTTTTAGTAAAGGCGCCATTTTGTGCTCTCAGTTTTTCATATTGAATTACGACTACTTTTTGAAAAGGGCCTCTTGAAGATGGCTGGAGGGACATCCGTTCAGCCATAGGTAGTACTGCTGTAGCGGCACTAGGTACTGCAATCCCGGACCGAAGAAATGACTGGTTTGACGGCGAATGCAAACTGTTAGTAGAGGAGAAGAATGCAGCACGGGCGAGAATGCTGCAACACCGCACGAGATTGAATGTGGAGCGATACAGACAAGCGCGGAACAGACAAAACTCGGTTTTCCGAAGGAAGAAGCGTCAGCAGGAAGATCGAGATCGCGAGGTGATGGAAAATCTGTACCGCGTAAACGACACACGGAAGTTCTACGAGAAGTTAAATAGTTCGCGCAAAGGCTACGTGCCGCAAGCCGATATGTGCAAGCACTTGGACGGTAACCTTCTCACGAACGAGTGTGAGGTGATTGAGAGGTGGAAGCAGTACTATGACGAGCACCTCAACGGTGAAGCAGCAGAAAACGAAGGTGGCACGGCAACAGACCTTGGAGCACGCGCAGAAGACGACAGGCTACCGGCCCCTGATCTTCAAGAAGTTGAGGAGGAGATCGGTCGGCTGAAGAACAACAAAGCATCAACTACCAAGTGAGCTATTGAAATACGGTGGTGAAGCACTGGCTAGAGCGCTGCACTGGGTAATTGCCAAGATTTGGGAGGAGGAGATATTACCGGAGGAGTGGATGGAAGGTGTCGTATGCCCAATCTACAAAAAGGGCGACAAGTTGGATTGCTGCAACTACCGCGCGATCACACTGCTGAGCGCCGCCTACAAGGTACTCTCCCAAATTCTATGCCGCCGTCTGTCACCATATGCAAGAGAGTTCGTGGGGCAATACCAGGCGGGATTCATGGGTGCCCGCGCTACCACGGACCAAATTTTCGCGATTCGGCAGGTTCTGCAGAAATGCCGCGAATACAACGTGCCCACACATCATTTGTTCATCGATTTCAAATCCGCATACGACACAATCGATCGAGATCAGCTATGGCAGATTATGCACGAGTACGGATTTCCGGATAAACTGACGCGATTGGTCAAGGCGACGATGGATCGAGTGATGTGCGTTGTTCGAGTATCGGGGACACTCTCGAGTCCCTTTGAATCTCGAAGGGGGTTACGGCAGGGTGATGGACTTTCGTGTCTGCTGTTCAACATCGCGTTAGAAGGTGTGATCAGAAGAGCTGGGATAGACACGAGTGGCACGATATTCAGGAAGTCCATCCAGCTCCTTGGTTTCGCCGATGACATTGACATTATGGCACGGAACTTTGAGATGATGGCGGAAACGTACATCAGACTGAAGGCTGAAGCTAGACGGATTGGACTTGCCATCAACGCATCAAAGACAAAATATATGAAAGCAAGAGGTTCTAGGGAAGACAATGTTAGCCTCCCACCCCGAGTTCAGATTGACGGTGACGAAATCGAGGTGGTCGATGAGTTCGTGTATTTGGGCTCACTGGTGACCGCCGAAAATGATACCAGCAGAGAAATTCAAAGACGCATTATGGCAGGGAATCGTGCCTACTTTGGACTCCGGAGGACGCTCCAGTCGAATAAAATTCGCCACCGCACGAAGTTGACTGTCTACAAGACGCTGATTAGACCGGTGGTCCTTTACGGCCATGAGACCTGGACTATGCTCGTGGAGGACCAACGCGCCCTTGGTGTTTTCGAACGGAAGGTGTTGCGTACCATCTACGGTGGAGTGCAGATGGATGACGGAACGTGGAGGAGGTGAATGAACCACGAATTGCACCAGCTGCTGGGAGAACCATCCATCGTCCACATTGCAAAAATTGGGCGACTACGGTGGGCTGGGCACGTCGTAAGAATGCCGCAGGACGACCCAGTGAAAATGGTTCTAGAAAGCGACCCAACAGGAACAAGAAGAAGAGGCGCGCAGCGGGCAAGGTGGATCGACCAAGTAGAAGGTGACCTGCGGACCCTTCGCAGACTACGAGGCTGGCGAACTGTGGCCATGGATCGAGTAGAGTGGAGACGACTTCTTCGGACAGCAGAGGACAACAAGGCCTTAGCCTGATTGGTAAGGTAAGTTTGAAAAGGGCCTGTGTAAAAATAGTACTAATGAGTTTAAAAATATATGTTGCCGAAACGCTTTGTTCGATTGATTTGGGGTCTAGAGCAAAGTTGTAGATATTATTTTGGCAATTGTGTGAAAAATATACGC